TGGAGGTTTTACATGAAAGCTCCATGGAACTAACATGAACTACACTCCATATGAGGAACTCCATACGAGGTTTACATGAACTACATTCAATCCATGGAACCTCCATATGGAGGTCTTTTTCATATGGAACCCTTTTCATATGGAGGTTTTAATCATCAAGAGTCTACACTCCCTGGAACGTTCCATGGAAGTGGATGGCATGGCTCCATTTCCATGTGAGTTCCATACGCGGTTTGAAGATGCCGGGCCGGCGGGTGGTGCAGGGATGCCGGGCTGTGTCCTTCCGCCACATTGTTAGTGGCAGAGGCACGGCCTGTGACTGCGGCCACGGAGGGTGTGGGGGGAGGATGGTCAGGGAAGATGGCGGCCAAAACAACAGGATGAAGAGGCAGAAGATGGTTCTGGGTTCTGGATGGAAAACGGTTCTTGTTTGTCTCTGACACCAAGACACGTCTTCCTTGGCCATGAATCCAGATGCTCGCCACAATGGATGACCGATTCGCAGCTAATTACAGCGGGCACAATAAGCCAGACCCACCATTTGTCTCCATTTGTTGTGTGGCTCCTAAAGTCAGACTCCATCTTGGGGCCGGTTGAAGCTTCTCCGCCACATTTCATCACATTCCTCATTTTCTGAAAAGGTCACGGTCTCCAGGTCTTGCAGTCTTGCATCCCTTGAAGTCTTGTGGAGTGTTTGGAGCACGTCTGGATCAAGAAAGGTTCCTGATTTGATTGCCTTTTTTGTGGGGTCACCCGCAGCCAGGAAACTTGAGTGCAGCGCAGCACGCGTCACCAAGGGGTGGCCGTGGCAGGGTTTGAGGGGTTCGGGACGTCTGACGCGTGACCACCTGAGATGGCTCATGAAGACAATATGAAGACACGCGGCATCATAACAGCTCTTGTTGCTTGCGGGCTAAAAACACAGCTGCACTGATCAATGCCAATCCCCACGTGTTTCAGACCGTTTCACCGGCACTGGGACCGACAGTCCCTTGTGGTGGCAGCATGTCACTTTGGGCCCGCTGCTTCTGCTCCGCCGGCTTTTGCCTCGGCCAGTGGCTGATTTGTCCAAAACACCGTTTGGCAGGGGGTCTGTGGGCCCGAGGGCAACATGCTCGGCATGCCGAGGGGAGGGAGACAACTAAATCGATTAAACATCTTCAGGACAGTCTTTGGTGCCAAGTTAATTACAGCTATGCATCCGGTAACTAGGGATATTTCAGCGCCCTTCGGTGTTTTAATAGCTAATTAAGCAGCTAAAGCTATGCCAGGGTTCATCCCCGCTGTGAATACCTCAAGCAAACATCTCTCCTTTCGAGTCGCATCGAGTCGCAGTCGAATCTCCCCTTGTTTTGCGAAACGTTGGTTTCATTTTTGTGCGACCTTGATACCTAAGTAATTATAGCAACTGTGCAGAACTGCAGTAAGGTATGCGCCTGGAACCCAGGCTTTCAGTAAGGTGGCCCCTCCATATCGAGCCGCGTCTCCACCATCTCCAGCCGCGTCTTGAGGATCCACCGTCATCAGCGCCGTCGGTCGCGACCGCGGAGGAGGCAGCAGCGTTCCTTGCGGAGCTGGCTCAGCAGGCGGACCGACTGGGTGCGAGGGCTGTCGGCTCCGACTGGGTCGGCTGGCGGAAGACCTTTGGTGGCCGTCTCTGCGGGCCATGGATGGAACATACGGCAGATCATGTAGCCTCTTCATCAATCCCACCCAGCTGGATTGAAGAACCTCGTCATATGGTGTGAAGTATATATATATACCCTGGGAGTCAAAGACTATAAAAAGAATGGTCTTGAAAGGGGACCTGAAAGGGAACTTCCTTTACTTCAGCCGGTCAAAAGATAGTCTTTGGACTTCTAGCCAACGATGGACACCAGGACGTGACTGGGCCTGCTCGGGCAGTCAGACCCGGGATGCCTGCCTCGTTGACTCTGCGGAAATGGTTAGAAGTAGAACGTAGCTTTAAAGGATCCCTTTGCCCAAGACACCCACAACTCAAATGTTCAAAAGGTCAACCCCCATATCGGACTTATCCTCAAAAGAGCTTAGCTATATGCTGAACAGAATTCCAGTTCGACTTCGCTTCTTCCTAGGCCCGTGCAGCTGCGCTGGCGCAGCTCGAGCAGCGATCGATCCAAGAAGGCGCTCCATCGTGACCAAAATGCTCCGAAGAGGTCGCGGATGGGCGGAGAACGAGGTAATTTTGTGAGGAGTCTTGACCCCAGTTGTTTCCCAACATTTGAAGTGTTTTTCTCATGGACACATGCAGGACATGGAAAACATGGACACCTTCCTGACTTGGCATGTCCAGCAGAACTTGATTTTGGGGACCGTTGGGGGGCAACTAGGTTTGCTTCGGCTTGGGCGGACTGGACACCAGAAATACCTCCTCGCAAATCCCTCGTCATAACAACTGACCCCTTGCCCTTGACCCATGATCCATCTACCAACTACTCCTGGCTCACCGCCAAAGCCCTCGCAGAACCCGAGCCATGAGAGCCAGATCCTGCCCTTTGAATCCCCAACCATCGAGTTGCTGAGTGGTTGCTTCCTCAACTTCCTCCACGACGGGCTACGCGGCCACCCTGGTCGCCCACGCTTCGGACCTCCCAGGCGAGCCGTCCTCGGTCGACCTGAACGGAGGTCCTGCGGAGGCCGGGGAGGCCGGAGGGTGGGGCAGAGAGCTGCCCAGCGCCGGCAGGTGGGTGGGAGTTATTTTTTGCGATGACATCCTCACTGATGAGGTGAGGAGCATTGTTGAAACATGGTTTAACACAGGTGACACAGGTGATCCAAGTTCAGGAAATGTCCTGAACACTTTCGGTGGTGCCAAACATAGTCGAACTGGACTTCGGGATTTGGTTTCTAGGGGTGGACTTGCAAGGATGTTGGATCAATTTCAGCCATTTTTTTGGCAAAGCCCTTTGTGAAGCACCACCTGGGGCTTGTAAGGGTGCATTTTCATGGGTTTTTAGTCTATTTCCCTTCCTCCAGGGGGTCATTGCCTGGGAGGTCTCCCTATTTCAATCCACCCGTAGACATTCCATTTATACTTCCGATACCGGAAAGTACACCGACGACCTCTCCGACGATCGGTGCTTCCTGAAGGCCCCCCCAAAAAGGAGTTCATGATCTGGCTTGATCCAACACCGTGGCATGTGTGGAAACACACCCCAAACTCCAGGAACTTTGTCATTGGAACCAACAAACCCTTGGACATCAGAGCAGAACGACCATTTCGGTTGATGGGGCCCAGGGCTATCTTCGAACAACGAGACCAGGACTTGTTTCCATCTGGATTTTAACAGTCGGCAGTTAAACGTTCACATGGGACTGGCATGTTCACCGAGTCTTCATCACTCCTGAAACAACCACCAGAATGTAAAGTATTTACGTCCACCCATGTCCACCCCATGTTCTAAGGTACCTGAGAAAACACATCAGCTTAATGGAATGGCTTATGGGTTCTTCAACTGAATGCAGGAAGCCCAGTCGAGACGATTGCCGAGCCCAGTCGAGACGACTCCGTCAGGTGAGGGGAGCACACCTCGGAGCAGGAGGGCTCAAGGACGATGGGAGAGCCACATGCTCCACTACCAACTCTTCAACCTGGTGAGTGGGGTGTATTCTAATTATATGACTCTCACGACTGTAATACAACTTTAGTCTTTAGTATATTGTTTTTTTTAATAAATGGTGTTCTAACACAATTACCGTTCTCAATTGATCTGTGTTTCTCTTCCAACTGCCCGCGCTTTACGCCCTTCAAGCCCAATTTTGTGACTCATCCTTTCCAGCTGTTTCGATCGGACGCATGGATGCGCAGACGGAAGCTCCACACGCACCCGGTCTATTAGGTTGGAGGCCATCGCGAGTAGGTCCACAAAGCCAGCACTTAGGACCGTGCACACTAGCATTCCACGGGACTGGAAGAATTAGGACCTACATGGATGAGTCATGTCCTTGAGGTAAAGGTGTATGATGGTGTATGTATACATATCGTATCATCATATTCCAGTCGCATGGAGTGTCTGGGGATATCGGGTGAATCATCACGGGTCTTCCAAGATTTTGTGACCCATCCCCACATGAGCGCCGGGATGCAAGCCTGTACTTGTCATGCAAGCTGGTCTCCTGCACAACCACTTGCAGAACAATGTGCAGCACTTGTTCCGCAGCAAGTCGTAAGGCCGACACCGTTGAGGAGAATGCTGAAGGCCGGGGCCATGTTTTAGGGCGCCTTAGCAATACAATCAGTTACACTCATGTTTGATACATTTTGACCCAGATGCAGGGCATATGACACTTTTTCCGGTGCAGTGGAGAAGCTTTGATGACTTGGTTTCATTGCACGCCCAACCTCCAGATCCACCGGAGAGCCACACTCGTTGTGACCCCAATAGGACTGGAAGACCGGTCCCATGGTTTCACGACCTCAGGTCGTAGGTAGCTTCACTCTGGAGGACTAGGTAGTGTGGGCCAACCGATCGATTGATTGATTGCACTTAACGATCGTGAGGTACACCGAGAATCCGATCCGAACAGCTTGATGAAGGTGATGAAGCTTCATTTGATGCCGTGGGCTCAGAATCAACTTCTGAAGGGAGCTTTTAAATCTTTTAAGATCATCATTTTGGGGACCTCAAAGAGCTTGTCTTCTGCTATCTGATGGTTGCAGCCTGCTGCTGGCTCATTCTTTTTTGCAGGCAGTGCACCTAATTAATCCTTCTCCCTATTCTTTCGGTTTGGAAGTTGGACACCCAAGCTGAGGGTGGGTTGTTTCTGCCCTACAGGGATCCAGAATCTGGGCCTGAACCTCCAATGGAAAGGGCTTGGTTCGGGTCCTTTTCCGTGGGTCTGATTCTATTTGGGATATAGTATACGCACATTTTGCAGTAGAAACTGTCTGCCTGGCTGACCCGAAGATGGCGGAACTTCCTCCGCCCCCGCGGCCGACTTCGGGGGCCGCTCGATCCGTTCGGCGCGTTCGGCGGTGCGGCGCGTGCGGCGGTGCGGCGCGGCGTTCTCAGGCCATTGAGCGTCGGATCGAGGCGGAGCGGCTGGCCTGTGGGGCTCCTCGGGTGGATGGACCTCTCCGGGCGACCCTGGCTGGCGACGAGTCTGGTGACTCCCTGATCGGTCCAACAGTCAACCTGTCGGTCTACCGGGAGACGAGCCATTTCTGGAGTTCCATGGCGTGGGCCAGTCTGTTTTGAACAGCACCAGCCAGTGAATGGACGTTGGCAACCTCCTTCATTGAGCGATATGGAACTGCTGGTGTATATCCATGATATTGTGTAAGATGATTCCCTGGTGTTTTCAGGAACGGATGTTTTAAATAGAATCTTGTATATATATAGCAATCATATATGATGTGACCCCTCCATTAGGACCCACAAGGAGAGGACAAGATCAAGAAGTGGTTGCCATGGATGGGGGGCGGCATTGCTCGATTGGAAGGGAAAGCGTCCGAAAAGGAGATTGGACCATGGCTTGGGACAGGGCACTTGCATCCGGTAACCCACATTCAACCCATCTGCAACTGGAACGACTGGAAAACGAACCGAGCGGACGTTTGGTATTCGGCGTGGTTGTTGTATTGCACCAGGATTACGTTTCGGTTCCGCAGGTGTGTTGCGCCATCTGTAGGAGCCGGAGCTGAAAATGTAGGTATTTGGGCTGTTCAGTCTACATCGCCTTCCTGGCTTGTTTGCGGCCATCTGCCCCACATCGGAAAAGGATCTACAGCATGTACCACGGTACAATCACACCTGCACCTTCAAAGGGGTGGTCAATGGAGATCCACAGGTAGCGTGGGGTAGTCCATTGGAGACCCCTTGGAAGGTTTTGGGTCCGCA